ATTTATTATTATTATTTTTTTTAGTCTTTTTGAGACAGGGTCTCCTTGTAGCCCCAGCAGGCCTGGGACTCACTATGTAGACCAGGCTGCCCTCAAACTCACAGAGCTCCACCAGCCTCTGCCTCCTGAGTGCTGAGACTAAAGGTGTACACCACCACACCTGGAGTAAGTTCCCTAATTATTTTAAGACAAATTTTTATAAGTAGATTCACTGAGTGAGATAATGTGTTCTTTCTTAAGACTCTTAAGAAATATTAACAGATTGGTCTCAGAAAAGTTACTTGTATTTAAACTCTTGAAGTGTGTACCTGTCTGAGAGCATGCTATTTTTAATGTTGAACTGATAGGTGAATGATGATACTGTAACCTTACAGTTCTTTATTTACCCCTGGAATTGATTGTGTTTTCATTATCATTGACCTTTGGGGGCCTGTGAATGATCAATTCTTGTCTTTCACACTTTTTCTTTTTTTCCATTTTTTCTTTTTTTGTAAATGTTTCTTACTTAGTTAAGGCCTATTAACTCTTTATTGTATTGGTTACATTTTCCACAGTTTATAATTTCCCTTATAGCATCTGGTCACATCTGTATTGTTTCAATATTTGAGATGCTAACTTATAAAGTAACCCTGACTGTTTTAAATTCATTAAATCCCATTACTTTATTCTTCTAACTTAGAAGTCACAAAGGCCCAAAGAATAGAAAGGAAATGTTTTTTAGTCACTTTACACTTAATGAAAATATCTGATTTGATCCAGTACTTGGGGAAAGGTATTCATTCCTATCATAATTTGGATATCTGTTTTAAGCCACTTTCCCACTGTCTCAATAAGAAGGGTGGTATTAGCAGAGAAAGAGTGACTTAGGACAAATGATGATATAGGGGCAGATGAAACAGTGACAGGTTTTTTTAAATATTGTTATTTAATATTGAATACTTAAGTGCCAGGTGTGAACTTTGTTGAATTTAGTCAAAAGGGAAACTGTCAACTTCTGCTCACTATTGCTGTGCTCTGAGAAAGCCTTAGACTCTGTGTACCATGAATCTCATCAAGAAATGCAGATTTGATGGTGGTTTTGGTTCTTAGTAACTGATCTATCTTTTTCAATTCTACAGGATTTGATTAAGCAGTACAATACATTGATAGAAGAAATGCTTCAGGTCCTCATCTATATTGTGGGTAAGATAAAAGAAAATGTTTTGAAGTGGAACATGATTTCTGTTTTAAGAGAATTTTTTTTAAATACTTTATTTGTTATTTTTATTTTATGTGTATGTAGGTAAGTATGTATGCCTGCATGTAGGTAAGTGCACCTGTGTCATGCAATGCGAGCAGAGGACAGAAGAGTCTGTTGGATCCCCTGGAACTGGAGTTACGGACAGTTGTTAACTGCCATGTGGGTGCTGGGATTCAAATCTGGGTCTTCTGCAAGAACAATCTGTGTTCTTAACCGCTGAGCCATCTGTTTTAGAGACTATTAATCAAACTGTAATTGATAATTTTACTTTTATTCCAAATGCTACATAAAATATTAGAGGTTAATGTGACCAGTGTGATAGATTTAGAAAACGCTTTTTTAAAAAAACAGTAGATCTTGCATATTTTTTTCCTCAGTGTTGGGGATCACACCCAGGGTCTTGCATATGATTTTCCTTTTTTGGTCTTTTTGAGACAGGGTCTCCATGTAGCCCCAGCTGACCTGGAACTCACTATGTAGACCAGGCTAGCCTCACCTGCCTCTGCCTCCTGAGTGCTGGGATTAAAGGCGTGCACTATCACTCTTGGCTTGATTTTTATTTTTTTATGTGTAAGTTTATTGCTTGCATGTATGTAAGTGTACCCATGTCATGCAGTGCACATGGATGTCAGAAGAGGATGTTGGATTCCTCTGGAACTGGATTAGGGATTAGGACATAATTATCCCAGCTAAAAATGTAGATTTGGGGGTGGTTCTTTTTGAGACAGGGTCTCCCTGTAGCCCCAGCTAGCCTGGAACTCACTATGTAGACTAGGCTGCCCTTGACCTCACAGAGATCCTCCTGCCTCTGCCTCCCAAGTGCTGGGACTAAAGGCGTGCACCACCACACTCAGCCATTTCTGGTTTTATAATGGGAAAAACATAATGAAGTAGAGATAGATTTGAATTAGAAATTAGAAGATCAGATCTTTGCCTTGCTATGAGTTGTTAAGAGCATGCTATTTATAATCTTGAGTTTCAGAACCTTAATTCATAAAATGTAAATGAAACCTACATGATCTCTACAGTTGTTTCTAGCACTGTGATCCTAGGAGATACCCCTTTTGGTTAAAAATAAATAAATAAGGGCTGGAGAGATGGCTTAGTGATTAAGAGCACTGGCTGCTCCTGCAGAGGACCCAGGTTCAATTCCAAGCACCCACATGGCAGCTAACAACTGTAACTCCAGTTCCATAGGAATCTGGCTCCCTCTTCTGACCTCCGTGTGGATTATATGACATGGATGCATTTACATACATGCAGGTCATACAGTCATACACATAAAATAAAAATAATAAATACAATTTTAAAAAAATAAATAGATATAGATATATTATGTTTTACAGATGTGAAAATGAGTTTCTTGGAAACAAAGTCAGGTAACAAATTCTTTGGCAAATTTGTAGAATCTATAGACTATCTTAAAGCATTTCTTTCTTGTGACTTATACCTATCATAAGTCTTTGTATAGATGTTATAATATTGAAACAATGATGAGTATATATGACATGAAGGCAGCAGGGACAGTAGGAGAAGGAGACTAGCAGGAAGGAGGGGGGAGAAAGAGAGAGTATAGGGGAAGAATGTGGCCTAAGTACTTAGGTCAGTTGAAAGAGATTGTCCTTATGAAACCCAGCATTCTGTACAGTGAATGTCTGTCAATACAAAATTTTAATAGAGACTGGAGAAGTGGCTCGGTTGGTAAAGTATACTGTGCAAGTGTGAGGACGCGAGTTCACTTTCCGGTACTCATGTAAAGGCTCCTGTCTAGCTGAATTGGTAAGCTCCAGGTTTGTGAGACTCTATCTCAGAAATAAGGTGAAGAGAAATTGACGAAGGCCCCTGAAATTGACCTCTGGCCTCTGTACATACACACAAACACACATTCAAATATACACATGCACACACAACACCAAAAATAATAACAACAATAATAATAATAATAATGCAAAAACAAAGGTGACATATGGTCAGATGTTTTTAAGTCTTATGAAGCAATAGGAATTAGATATTATTAACATCAGAGTTATACCTGTAGTTAGTTTAGCAATTTCTTCTTTTGATCGGGGGAGTGTTTTTTCTTGTGTTTTTGTTTTGTTTTCTTTTTTTTTTTTTTCAGTGAAAAATGTAAATCTGAAACTGAGGGTATAGCTTAGTGGTAGCACTTGCCTAGCATGTATGAGGGCTTGGTACATGATACTGCTTTGTCATGTAACCCATTAATAATAATTTTTTAGTTTTCATTTTGTTCTTAAGATTTGTATGTGTCTGTCTGTCTGTCTGTCTGTCTCCCTCTGTCTCCCCCCCCCCCCGTATATGTGTGTGTATCTCTGTGTCTGTGTGAGTGTAAAGTACATGTATACGCCGGTGTGTGTGTTTGTACTTGTTCCCTGAGGTCAGAAGAGGGCATTAGATCCCTTGGAGATGGACTTACAGGTGTTTGTGGCACACAAACAGGCTTGTTATGTGTGTGCTGGGAGCCAAACTCTGATCCTCATGATGGTGTACCAAGAGCTCTTAACCAACCCCTTAGCCAACTTTGCAGTCCTATCCTTTTTGTTTGTTTGTTTGTTTTTGTTATTTGTTTTGATTTCTTTTTTTTTTTTTAAGTTTGATTTGATTTTTGAGACAAGGACTTGCTTTGTACCTAGGCTAGGTTTCAAGTTGTGATCCTCCTGCCCTGGCTTCCCAAGTCCTGGGGTTACAGATGTCTACAGTCACACCTGGCTTGGTAGTTCCTCAAATAGCGCTAGGGAAGCTCTAGAGAAAAGCTATTCCTGGATGGGCATTGCTCATCTACATGCCACTTGCCTTCTTTCCTGGACTAGAAATAAATGTTAATTCAATTGAGGGGCCTTGTCTATAATGTATGAGTGTTTGTGCAGATATGTACGTGTATGTGTGTACAAGTAAGTGGATTCTTCAGGTCACTCTGCAGTCTCTCTATCAAAAAAAATATTTAGGCAAAGCATAGTGGCCTAGGCCTTTAATCTCAGCACTTGGAAGGCAGAGGCAGGCAGATCTTTGAGTTTGAGGTCAACTTGGTCTACACAGTGAATTCCAAGCCAGCCACGGCTACATACATTGTCTAAAAAAATTTAAAAACAGATATATATTTGTTTGATTTTGGAAAAATATTTAAATAACTTTTGGTCTGTCTCTTATAGACCTAACAATGCAATTTTCTATGTATAAGTACATCTGGTAAAAACTTAAATAGAAACCAATGAATTATTCTTTTTGTTTATATTTTTCTTGCCATTGTCTCAGGAGAGCGATATGTACCTGGAGTGGGAAATGTGACCAAAGAAGAAGTCACAATGAGAGAGATCACTCACTTACTCTGCATTGAGCCCATGCCACACAGTGCCATTGCGAAAAATTTACCTGAGAATGTAAGTTTATTTTTCATTCCTCTTCTCAAGATTTCAGTTTTTTCCTTCCTTCCTTCCTTCCTTCCTTCCTTCCTTCCTTCCTTCCTTCCTTCCTTCCTTCCTTCGTTCCTTCGTTCCTTCCCTCCCTCCCTCCCTCCCTCCCTTCCTTCCTTCCTTCCTTCCTTCCTTCCTTCGTTCCTTCGTTCCTTCCTTCCCTCCCTCCCTCCCTCCCTTCCTTCTTTCAAGTTACTCCAAACATCAGGAAAATTTTTTTAGCAAAATGATACATATTTTTACCTTATGACTATAAACCAATCATCTTTTAACTTTTAGTTGTATAAATTTTAATTCTGGAGCAATGTTCTTAAATATTTTGTTCACTTAAAAAAGATTTTGTCACAGGAATTGGCGGCTATCTGAAATACTGAGACTGAACAGTATGTTAAGATACATCTTCTAAGCCAGGCGTGGTGTGGTGGTGCACATGTTTAGTCCCAGCACTCAGGAGACAGAGGCAGAGGGGATCTCTGAGTTTGAGGGTAGCCTGATCTACATAGTGAGTTCTACGCCAGCTGGGACTACAGGGAGACCCTGTCTCAAAAATACCAAAAACAAAAACAAAATATTTTCTAGGGATGGAGAGATGGCTTAGTGATTAAGAGCACTGATTGCTCTTGCAGAGAACCTAGGTTTGATTCCCAACACCCACATGGCGGCTAACAGCTGTCATAACTCCAGTTCCAGGGAATCCAATGCCCTTTTCTGACCTCCATGGGCATTGCACAACACAGGTGCACTTACACATTTGCAGACAATACACTTATACACATAAAATAAAAATAATAAAATATTTTTTTAAAAAACATCTTCTAGGAAACAAGTCCAAAAAAACCCAAGACTTTATTATAGAAAGTGATAAGGGAACTAGGAAACACTAGGGGAGCCAGTTAGACAAGCCTGCTTCCTGTAAAAGAGTGAAGGAGTTACAGAAGCATCCTGTAAAAAATTTGCTCACAGAAGAAAGTAGAATAGTGGTCTGTTATATGAAAAGGAAGAAAGAAGTAAGCAAGCTATACATGGTGGCACATACCTGTAATCCCAGCACTCTGTAGTCCAGATCAGCCTGAGCTACATAGTAAGACCCTGTCAAGAGGAGTGGGTAGGGAGAGAGAAAAGAAAAGAGAAAAAAGAGAGATATAGGACTAGAGCAAGAAAAAAGTCCTGGGCTTTGACGCCCTCCTGTGTCTCTCAAAACAAACCTGCATTAGCATTAGTATCTTTGCCTTGCTCAGTGTCTGGAGTCATTTAGTGAGAAGCTTGGCTTAGTGTATCCAAGGACAGCTGTTGAAGCCTGTGGTGGTCATTTCATGCTGTCTCTAATTGGAGATCTATAAGATGCTTTTTTTTTTTTTTTTTGAGACAGGGTTTCCCTGTAGCCCCAGGTGGCCTGGAACTCACTGTGTAGACCAAGCTGGATCTCACAGAGATCTGCCTGCCTCTGCCTCCCTAGTCCTTGGATTAAAGGTGTTTGCCACCATACCTGGCTTTAATACATTTTAAACATCAACTTAGAGTTTTCCTTTGCATCTTTCTAAATAGTAATATCTGTGGGATAATAGTTTTCATGTCCTAAATGATTTCTCCATAAATACTATCAAAATAAATAAATATTCAAAAATTTAACTGTGACACTTAATTTCACAGAGGCGCTGTAGGGCCTCTTCCTTAGTTTTTTGCTGCTTATTTCACAAGTAAATTGTTTTCAAAAGAAGATTAAACAGATGTGGTGGCACATGTATGTAATATAGTTCCAGCTACTTGGGAGGCTGAAACAGAAAAGCTATTTAAGCCCAGAAGTTTGAGGCCAGCCTAAGCAACACAGTGAGACTATCTCTTTGAAAATTCAATTGGTAAATAAAATAAACATAATTTTTTTTTACATTTATTTATGGGGGTGGGGCATCATTTGTGTACAGTACAAGTCAGAGGTCAGAGGACAGCTTGCAGAAGTCATTTCTCCCCTTCCACAATAGGTCCCCCAGCATTAAATTCACGTCCTCAGCTTTTGTAGCTGGCACCTTTATTCACTGAGCCATCTTGGCTGCTCAAAATAAACTTTAAAAGAAGGTTAATCTTAAATTTATAAGGCTGTAAGTGAATATAAGTTACTGTAGTACCTTAACTAGATCCTTATTAGTCCTTAGTCATCATTTTAAAGTTTGGGTTTTTTTTTTTAATTTTTTTTATTTATTTTATTATTTTTTTTTAATGTGTATGAGCATATTGCCTGCATGTAAGTGAGTGCACCCATGTCGTGCAGTGCCGTGGAGATCAGAAGAGGGCTTCGGATTCCCCTGGAACTGGAGTTAAGAATGGTTCGTAGCCACCATGTGGGTGCTGGGAATCGAACCAGAGTCCTCTGAAAGAGCATTCATTGCTCTTAACTGCTGAGCCATCTCTCCAGCCCCCTTACTCATCATTTTAAATGACTTCATAAAAATAGTATTATCAGCCAGGCATGGTGGCACATGCCTTTAATCCCTGCACTTGCGAGACAGAGGCAGGTGGATCTTTGTGAGTTCAAAGGACAGCAAGGGCTACAGGGAGACCCTGTCTCAAAAAGACAAAAAAAAAAAAAATTAGTATCATCTTGGGGCTGGAGAGATGGCTCAGCGGTTAAGAACTCTAGTTGTTCTTGTAGAAGACCCTGGTTCAAATCCCAGCACCCACATGGCAGCTAACAACTGTCTGTAACTCCAGTTCCAGAGGATCCGAAGGCCTCTTCTGTCCTCCGCGGGCATTGCACGACATGGGTGCACTTACCTACACACAGGCAATACACGCATACCCACAAAATAAAAATAATAAATTTAAAAAATATTTTTAAAAAATAGTATTATCTTTTCAAGGATAAGTTCATGCTAATCAATAGAAAACTATTAGAATTGCAGAATGAAGCGGAGCGTGATGGTGCACGCAGAGGCAGGCAGATCATTGTGAGTTCAAGGCCAGCCTAGTCTACATAGTGAATTCAGGTCAGCTGGGACTACAAGGAGACCTTGTCTCAAAAAGACAGAAAAAGAAAGAATTGCAGAATGCAAAATACATTAAGACATTTGCACATGTGTTTTGCTATAGGTTTCTAGTTGGAGGCCATTTCATGGGCATGTGCCTGAAGTGTCAGTGATAAATGTGCTACATAAAACTTCTTTTTTAAGCCCTGGGGGTGTAGTTGAGTGGTAGACCCTAGCATGCACAAAGCCCTAGGTTCAATTCCAACACCACCACCAAAAAAAGAAAGATGGTGCTGCACATCTTTAGTCCCAGCACTTGGGAAGCAGAAGCAGGTGGATCTCTGCGAGTTCGAGGTCAGCCTAGTGTACATAGTGAGTTCCAGGTATGTGTGTACACATATTTAAGAAGGTAAACTTAAGATATCTAACTTCTCTTATTCAGTTTATACATAAGGCCATATATCTTAAGAAAGTAGTCTCCTACAACATTGTTAATTTGTTATTTTTAAAAATATGTAATTTTTCTCTAGGCATGGTGGCGCACGCCTTTAATCCCAGCACTTGGGAGGCAGAGGGAGGCAGAGCTTTGTGAGTTCGAGGCCAGCCTGGTCTACATAGTGAGTTCCAGGCCAGCTGGGGCTACAGGGAGACCCTGTCTCAAAAAGACAGAAAAAAAAAAATGTAATTTTTAATGCAATACTGTCTTGAATCTTTCCATTTATTGTTTATAAAGCACTTCAAAAATGAAGTTTAAAATGTATTTCACTTTAACACTAAGAGAAGAGAAAGTCATTACACAAAGGTAAAAATGACAAAAATATTGTTTCAACAGGAAAATAATGAAACTGGCTTAGAGAATGTCATAAACAAAGTGGCCACATTTAAGTAAGTACTTAATATATATGCTTATCCTGAGATAGGCTAATCTTGGTTTTCATATACTGGCTACTTTGTAGAGGGTCTGAAGTTCTTACCGGAGCTCCCAGGAATAAGGATGCAGTACAGAGGAGAAGGGATGGGACTGAGGGGATGCCATAGGGACTGACTGAATGTGTTTGTTGAGGAAGTAAGTGTATTTTTGTTTATCTGGTAAATGAAAAATTTGCTAATGACTTTAGGTGATTTAAACAGTATGTTAATAGGTTGTCTGATGGCTCTTTCCCAGTAATTTGAAGCTATGACTTCATTATTTATAAATTTTTAATTTAGATTATCATCTTAGATTTTTCTCTGATCGTTTTCAAACTGTTTTACAATCCTTTCAGTCTTTATATAGAATGAAAAGATTTTTAATTGGATTGATTCTTGAAATTTGAAAATTTGATACCAATAATGTATTTCTACTTGTTATAGTATTGTATTTAAACACATTACTAGTTTCAAATAACTTATAAAATAGAATGTGACTTTTTCTGTTAACATTGTTGAATGATATGTTTAACTTTAGAATTAGACAGAAATTCAAAGCTGTTACCTGTCCATAGCAAACAAGGTATCCATCTAGCCTTGGTGCTTTTATGACTACAGTACCCTATAGAGGATTCAACTCTTTATTTGTATCTACAGTTTGCTAATGATGTAATGTCTCCCTACCATTTGGGATTTGACCCTAACCATGGGAGTGTATTATTGTTTAACAGGTAATCTTTAAAAGCCAGAGTCTATAAAAGAGATCTGAGGAATTTAAGTAGGGTGTGCTATCAGGTCCAATTAACACAAAACAAACTTCCCAGATTTTGTCTGAATTTCATAACTGTGGAGTACAACGTAACTGTTATCAGGACTTTGTCTTCACAGTGTATGTTTTTAGTATTACCATGGCAACTGAACTTATAATTTCTGAGATATATAATTTAGTATATTTTGAATTTTAGATTAGATTTTAGGTTCTTCGTCTGTTTTCTATACTGCAAAACACACTGCAGTTCATCTCTGTGTTTTCTGTTGCTTTTAGGAAACCAGGTGTATCAGGCCATGGAGTTTATGAACTAAAAGATGAATCATTGAAAGACTTCAATATGTACTTTTACCATTATTCCAAAACACAGCATAGCAAGGTAGGAAAAGTATTCTCTATCTCTAGTAAATGAAGCTGAAGTCCTTTGTGTTTTCTCTTTTTTTTTTAACTTTTAAAAAATTTATTGAGAATTTCATAAGGTGTTTTGATCAAATCCACGCCCATTCCTCCCCTCTAACTCCTTCCTTTATGTTTTATAAAGCTACAGAAAAGTAGTTTATGCTAGTTCTCATTAGTAGAGGCTTTTAGCATACCCAAGAAAATTAAACTTTAATCAATAATCTAGTATATAGACAATATTTAGGTTTTCTTGACTATACCAGAAATGTCCTTTGCAGTCATGAGAGAAGAAGATTCAGTGGGGCACTCTTCATTTCATGATCACACACTTTACTTGGTTTTCATGTTTCTTTAGAAATATTTTGCTTTTTTGTCTTTTATAATTGTGCCTGTTCTACAGAGTATAAATAAGTTGTCTTTTAGAATAGCCTTTATTCTTTATCAAATATTATATTCTTCTAATTAGATTAGCATTAAAACATTTCTTTGGCAAGAATACTACATAGTTGGTGTTTACCACCACATCAGTAGGTATGTAGTGCCTGTTGGTCCTGTGACAGATGATGTTACGTTTAATCACTTGGTTAAATCACTTGGTGATGTCTGGCTTTATCCTTATAAATAACAGCATTCTCTCTGCTTACTTGCTGTTATAGTGTGTGCTATGTACCACCATACCCATTCCAACCATGATAATCTGAAACCATGCATGATCAGGAGGATCATACATGATTCCTCCCTTTAAATCATTTTGTCAGATATTCTCTCAATGGAGTCTAACACAGGAACTTCCTGTATTACTTTACAATTTTGCCATAGGTCTATAAAAGATAAAATTTATTTCTTTTAACTTAAAAAAAAACTTTATTGAGAATTTCATACATGCATATATAGTGTTTTGGTCAAATCCACGCTTACTCCCTCCCCTTCAACACCTCCCATATCTCCTCATCACTTTTTTCTGATGATTTCCTGTACTCTTTCTTTCCTTCTTTTTTTTAATGGGGCTTTTTGCTGCTCTAACATTCCCCCCTCTGAAGAGGTAACCCTAAAATCTTTTAGGGATTAGATAAGAGCCCCCAAATACTTTTGACATTTTTGGTCTTTGGAACAGAGTATGTTGCTAAGAGGCCCAAGGACATTTTGAATTTTTTCCAAGGCACTGGCCACTTTTCTTTGGGGACTTTTTTACCCTAACTGCCTAGCCAATTCCTATCTCCTATTCTTACACACCGTCCTCTGAAGAGGTTACCCAAATTGCCAATAGGGAATCAGGACACAGACCGCTCTGGCTTCTTCCATACTGAACAGGGATGCAGGTGAGGCAATTGGGGTACCCCTTCAGTGCGCCTATCTAAAAGACTCCCAAATTGCATAATTCTTATCTGGAGGGAGAAAACAAAGTCCTTGACTGGCAAATAGGGGATGTGAAGGAGAAGTAAAGGCAAGAGTACTTAGCATTACAAGTTCTAGACAAGGAACCAGAAAAAAGTCAGAACAGGGCAAATTTCAAATGTTCATATCAGAGTCCATTGGAATTTCTTCATTAGAGCTTCCAAAAGCATCCCTTCATTGAGTTCCTCCTCATTTTTCTTTTGTCTGCCAAGGCTGGACTCAAGAGTGATAGACTCACTTTTATAGTTGTTGGAGTGGCTAGAATCAGTGTCAGTTCCCTCACAAAGGCTTCACCATGCAAATTTATCCATCATTTTAGAATAATAGCTGGTTGTCTCCCTTAGCTACAGGTGGACACTACAGTATTGAAGACCAAATTTGAAGTCTTACATTTGAGCAGCACTTTCTGGTTAGGAACAAAATCATCAATGAGAAGTAATTGCCAAATAACCTTTTTATTGACTTAAGCCTAATGTCTGGGAAGTGGGAAGTGTAATCCCTTGAACTCTTAAAGAAATACACTGATCACTTTAATCTTTAAAGATGAAATAATGAAATTTGTAGGTAAATGGATGGCTCTAGAAACTGTTATACTAAGTGAAGTAACACAGACTCAGAAAAACAAAAGACATATGCTCTCCTTCGTTTGTGGATCCTAGCACCAAATCCTCTTATAGTCCATGTTCTTTTAATAAAATGATGCTGTACAGCAGTCTCTTCTGTGTGAAACAACTACCATCATCACAACTTCAGCTGTGCCTGCTTGCTAAATAAACATTGTCACAATTGGGCTTGTTGACGGTTGTGCTCTTTCATAAAAAGAGGGGCAAACAGGCCACTCTTCCCAGCCAACTGTATGTAATTTGACCGTAATCACACATGGTCTCCTGGATTTGTGGAGGACTAAAGTATATAATCTGGGGAAGGCTAAGAAGAGAAGGCTTGATCCATGCTGGGTAAAGGCTTTCCATTGTGCATACCCCCAGGTCACTCACACACCTCAGCAACCCCTCAGTCATCTCTGTAAGTAAGCTCAGTAAATTCATTAGTTCCCCAGACAAACTTTAATTAAACATTGGTTTGACACTAGAATCTTAAAAGGGGATAAGCATTGCTTAGTCGCCCCAGGAAAAGAATTCTCACAGCAGATGGAAAATTTATTTGTTAATGTTATTATGTCTCATAATTATTAAAAAAATAAATGCCTTTAATCCCAGCACTTAGGAGGCAGATGCAGGTGGATTTCTGTGATTTCAAGGCCAGCCTGTTCTATGTAGTGAGTTCCAGGACAGCTGGGGCTACAGGGAGACCCTGTCTCAAAAAGACCAAAAAAAAAAAAAAAAAAAAAAAAAAGATGTTAAAAGGATATGGGAATGGAGATATTTTCCAAAATAGAAAAAATGAGAAAGCCTAAGCAATGGATGAAGGTCTGTGTAGGTTTGCTATGCTATATAAAGGATGAGACAAAAATAATATACACATAATTTAAAATGTCTAAGGTCATAGTTTAGTCAGCTAGTTTAAGGAACAAAATATATGTCTAGTCAAGGTTTATCTGAGAATGTTTGGGTTTTGCCCAAGCTTTATCTACATAGCATATGGTAATTAAAAATACCATATCAGTGGAACTAACCTTCTAGGATGTTTAACAGCCATACTTTGAGGCCTATACTGATCTGATCAGAGGGACATAAAGGACAGTTTTTGTTCCTTGCCCTCCAAGGTTGACTAAGTTCCAGGGGACTATGGAGCATCTCTCAAAATGTCCTATAACTATGGTGAGTCACCTCTCCTGTTCAAGGAGGCCATGGAGACCCTACTAGATGGACTTGTACCAGTGTCCAGTCTACAAAGAAGAGGGTCAACTCAGAGGAAACACTTCCTCCATGCTTCCAAGTAAAGCCAGCCACTGTCAAGTAGGACCTTTGACTTACCTTCACATAGATGGAACTGGTAAAAGAAAGGAGCCAGGGGCTTCTCCCAAGCCCATGTGACCCCTGATGAACAGATCCTCCAATGGCCTGAAGAATAAAAATAAATTGGTTTATTTGGGCCAACAGTATGGTCTTAAACACCCAAAAGGAAATATATAACCAAATATTTATTTTTTAAGAAGATGAATAATTATAGACTGTATCACAGTTCCATGTACAGGATAGAAACTAGGGAGATACTTTTGACTAAAAAGAATAGAAACTAATTTCTTTTTTAAAATTTTTAATAACATGGGGCTGGAGAGATGGCTCAGTGGTTAAGAGCACTGACTGCTCTTGCAGAGGACCTGGGTTCAATCCCCAGTGTCAGGGATCCTGCCCCAACACAGGAGCCGACACAGGAGCCAGGGAAAGGGAGATGAGCTGTCTGCCCGTTACCTGCAGCCTCCCCTGGAGACAATCAGACGCGACAGGGAGCCAGTCAAACAGGAACTCGTTTATTGCAGGCTTATGAAGGCAAAAACCACAAAGGAAAATCCCCTCCCCAACCAAGAGTCCAATCGTGTTAAAGGTCAACTTGAGCATGCAGTCTCCTCTCCATAACACAGCATAGCGATCACACGCTGCCAAGATGCATGGAAATGACAGGAGCCAATTAGCGATTCTTCAAAACAAGTCTGGTCATGCCCCAGCCACTTCCTCTAGGGGCCAAACAAGTCTGGTCACGCCCCAGCCGTTTCCTCTAGGCGGCTTCTTGCCTCGCCCCTGGCCTCAGGCCCCCCGCATCCCAGCACCCACATGGAGGCTACAAACCGTCCTTAACGCCAGTTCCAGGGAAATCCGAAGCCCTCTTCTGACCTCTGCGGCATTACACGACATGGGTACACTCACATATATACAGGCAATACATTCATACACATAAAATAAAAATAATAAAATATTTTTTAAAATTTTTAATAACTACATGATTATAAAAAGCATTTCATTACAGATTTAATATATTCAGTAACACACTCCAGAGCAAGAATACATCTCTCACAGTGGCTGTAAGTTTCTAGGTTCACAGTTGAATACAGTTATATGATATTGAACTCAGTATAAGCCCTGTAAGACATAAAATTGAATGAGTTTTTAACCTTTAAAAAAGATCTCCATTTCATTTTAGAATATATTGTTCCTTGCAGAAAGATTCATTATTTTTGGTACTAATACTGAGATGTTGGCACATGCATCTCTAATCTGTATGTCTGTGATTATTACTAATCATAATCGGTTGCACTGGGATCCTTGGCGCCTATGTATGTCTATAAAGTCCTTGGGTAGATTTCAGTGGTAATGTTTATCACCTCTACTAATTAGGGTGACATAAATTTCCGTGATTCCTCCTCAAATATAGTATATTTTTTAAAATTTTGTTGATTTTGTGTGTGTGTATGTATCACACAGAACATCCCAAACCATCTTATTTGACTATACACCCACTTCCCAGATGGCACCCACCCATAACCTCCCACCCCCAACTAGAGCCCTTATACTCTGATATCCCTGCTACTGTCTGCTTTGTTGTGGGCACGCCCAGCCATTCCCCACTACTTGCCCTTCTGGTGAATCTAGTCAGCCTATCTAG